AAATACTGTAATTAACTCGCAGACAATGAACAAATATACTACTCAACTTTTTTTTTTTTTTCATTTTTGGTCATAAATCAACAATGATTGCTGCCATGTTCGGCGTACTACCTACGTGATTAATCCAAAGCTAGCTAATTGCGGAGCCTTTTGTTACTACAAATAACTTAACATAGCAGGATTCGATCGTTCTTTTTGGTGGCTATGACAAAGAGCAAGCAAACAATACATATATATTGACATTATACTTGTTCTATATATGCTGCTTCCAATCCAGGACGTTCGTTTGCTGCCGTAAATTCCTCTAACTACGTACGCGAGAGAGATGTACAAGTGAAACCATGCCCCGCCGTGTACTCTTTTTTTGGAGTGTTTTTGTCCCTCTGTTCGATGCATGCAGACCATCTTACACGTAACACTTTTATGAAAATATACTATCAATTATGTGTGTACCCGGTTGTACAACACTTTTATGTATACACACACACACACACATATATATATGTGTGTGTGTGTGTGTGAATTTTTCTATCAGGTACTGCATGGACACTCGTTCGTACACTTATATTCTACATAATCTATCATGTATATACACATATTAATTATTAATACTTTTTCTTATATTTATACAATTTTTTTAATTAATTTCCTTGCACATTTTTTTTAAATTAATCTCATATTTTTAAAATTCTAATACTTGAAATATATCTTATCAGTGTGTCCATAGGGCACCCATTCGACAGACCGTATATATGCTTGGCCTTACGTCACCTCAACTTTGTTCACTTTTCAAATATCACCTAAAATTTACGTATCAACTTTGTTCACTTTTCAAACTTTGTTCACTTTTCAAATATCACCTAAAATTAACGTACTTACTTATTAGTAATTCAATTAATCCCAACCAAAGTTTCTAGTTTCTAGAATTGCTCAACTTGAAAGGTGCATGTCCCAAGATTTGTTTACTCCGTTTTTAGAAATTTCTAGGCATCTCTAATTAATATCGCTGACATGCCCATCTGCCAATAAAGATTTGATTCTTTTGAAGCATTCCTTCTCCCCGCCGCTCAAAAGCATTCCTTACCATCAAGATTATCGTCACAAAAATGAGATTTTTAAGCGCTAATCCCCAACAAAGAAAAAATCTTAACCGCTAACACATTTATTTTAGCAGCTTCGAAGCCCCTTAATTACCACCCTTTAGCCATTATTTGAAAGAATATTTTGTTCACACATTTATTTCATCAATCTGTCAGGTGGTGTTTGGATCGTAGCTTTTTACTTAAGGTGATCGTATTTTTCAGTCACCTTTTTTTATTTTATATCCGTCAAGTAGCTGCGCTATATATTCTTTTTCTTTTTTTTACAAAAGGTACAAAAAGTTGCCAGCCAGCCAGCCATCCATCCAAAGGAGACCTCCCACATGAGATAAGTCGTGATTGGTTTATCGCCATGGAAATAGACAAAGGAAGCAATCTTGTGATGATCAGGGAAACCGTGATACCATAGTTGGACGTCTTCGAAATAGAACAGCCAACAGGACCATGCGTGCACCAAACCACATTATTGGACTCCAGTGCATATGAATTACGAGCAGTAGTACCTTGGCTGCGAATGGTTGTACTATCAGAGAACAATAAAAAGGACCCCACAGAGGAGGGAGTGGTATCACGGACGACTGTTACCCACGAAAGTACCTCGGGAAATTCAATTCAATTCAATTCTTCATTTTCTCTGTCTTACTAATTCTTAAACAGCAGCAGCAGCTGTCTCTCTCTCTACCCTCGCCCTGACTGACCCCTGATCCATCGATGGATGACGAGTCTCCTCTCCTGACATTTCCCCCCCCCCCCCGGCCCACACTGCAATTTTGTATCCTCTCACTTGGGGTCCAACCTTTAATTATGCTGTAATCATTTTATACCTGATCGGGTCGGGGGGCGGGGGCTGTAAAAGGCAATCCACTTTCTTTTTACTTTCTACGAAAAATATATCATTGCCTTCCACACGTTTGTCAAAGAAAGTTTTTTCTTTTTTTTTTAATAATAAAAAATTCACCATCCTTTGACCTTTCTCTTCACTCTTTTAGCCTCTCAGGTCCACAAGCTTAAGCTTGATGATATTTGCAGTTTTGCACTTGCAGTCCTGTCTGCAGTCTGTGAAACAACAACCCAACAAGTCTTTCTTCTAAAGGAAAACAAAAGAAAATTTGTACCTCAATTAGGGCTACTTTCAACGGAATTTCTTATCGTGGGAGCCTTCGCGCAATTTGAAGTAAAATTAGGAAAACAAACTAATAATAACAAGCGGAAATCTCCATTTTTTTTTTGGGTGGACTCGGCTTCGTTTTGTTATTCCTCTTCTTTATTCTTTATTGTATATAGTTTAGCTAGTAAAAGTTCATGTTATATCATCACAATAAAACGTTCTTATGTATAAGTCAAAAAAAAAAATTTGTAATTCATACATTTCAATGCATATTCTGAAAAACACTCGTTTTTTCAACTAACAATATGGAATTCGAAATAAACTTTCAGCGTATTATACTTTACAAATTATACATTAATTTTCGGTGAAATCTAAAATTTATGTAGCACGGTATGCATAATTAATGACATCCTTCTGAGTTACATATATACAAATTAGCAACCACATAGGTCGCATACATACGAAAATAATAAGGTGATAAAATTTTAATGTCATACACAATGATAAGAGTTAGATTAATTGTACTAATATTATTTTTGGTTCCACAACTTAGAAATACTTTCACACTATTCAGGTATGACTTTATATATGTAATTGTGCAAAATATGCACTCTTTTTTTGCCACAATTTTACCCGCATCAATATTTAATTTAGAGATGTTATAGAGATGCCAAATGCCAATGTTAACCACATAGATACTAAGAAAACATAGTGCAAGGTATTATGCAAATCTACATTCGCATTTATTGCTTCAAGTACATGTAAATTCGTTACTACGTTAAAGAATCTCCTTCAATTAGGAATCCCAGGTTTATAAGCTGTCTTTTTGTCTGTGGAGAAAAGAAAAGAAAAGAAAAGAGGAAAGAAGAGAAATAGTTAAGCCACCTACATTAATTAGAGCTTGATATAAATAACTCCAAGCTCAGCTAGAAGGATGATGTCTATTTAGAGTATGTAATTGTACGCATCACTAGTTATAGTAAACTTACACATTTAGGGTTGGAAACATAAATTTAAGCGTCAGTGTGAACCTAACACTTGATGTGCTCAAATCTGAAGACGCCAAACCAATAATATTTAGTGTGTTTGGATTGTAAGTTATTTGAAATATTTTTACTGTAGCACTTATTGTGATGTGATGTATTTGAGATAAAAAGGTAATTGAGAAGATAAAAAGGTGTATTGAAAATTGTAACGGTGATGTCAGCAAATATATTTGGCCAAATAATTGGCTGTCCTAATGACGACGAACAATATACTCTGTTACTTTACCGTGTCAATAAAAATAAACTTTTCGATTGACCATCTGCGCATCATATGCACAACATCATTGCAGCAGTATTAGTAGTGCTTCCCCCGTCCCACTTTGATAGTCCTTTTTTTTTTCACACAGTTTAAGAAAAAGTAATTAAATTTGTTGGAACAATCAATTTAGGTAGCTATTTTCCTAAAATACCCTCACATTAATTAGAATACAAATTTATGAGAACTTGAATTGATGGTTTATGAAAACTTGAATTGATGGTACAAAAAGAATCAACTCTCATTAAATAGGGTAGGTTTATAGTAACAACAACTTACATTGAATAAGGGTATTTTAGGAAAACTAAAATACAATTATATTCTTCAATTGGAAAGTGGACTACAATTTGGGACAGACGAAAAAGGAAAACAGGTCTATCAAAGTGGGACGGAGGGAGTATCAAAATATGAAAAGAACATAATTGAGTCTTGATTTCGCATAAAACTTTAGAATTTAAATCTACCAGCTCCATGAGTTCTCAAAGTACAATACGAGTACTTTGGAACATATATAAGCGGGAGTGGATGTTGTTAATCTGCAAATTTTCAGATTTTGAAGTGCAAAGAATATTATTAATTCTCAAAAGAGAGAGAAACAAGAAACAAAAAAAAAAATCTTGTTCAAGTTCAACAATTTATGAATATTACAGAACTAAGGTAGCACACAAATACAATATATAGTTTCCTAACTCATAACCATGAAATTCATTTGATAAGAGATTAATGAAAACCCCCCCCCCCCATCACCTGGCAATTAAAGTAACCTTATAAAACTCAATATTTGACGCAGTAGAGTGATGTTCTCCTTCCAGAAAAGGTAAATTCAATACTGACAATTGTTATGCATCTCAGTTCAAACATGAGAATGCATTAATAAACTCGATGCTCCGAAGTGTTAAAAAAAAAAAAAATCCACAAAAATCGTACTGCTGCAGAATATGTCCAGCATTTAGCTCTTTTTTCTATTTAAAGTTTCCAAATTTCCGAAGAATCTGAACCGTTCCTCAATATTTCATAGATCTTGGTAAATAGAATTTGGCTCGGAATGCTACATAAGTGTTGACACAGAGCTCTACACATTCTGTTGAACAGCATACAGCCAATATATATATACATAATAAGTACCTGTATAGGATTATACTCCATAGCAGATATACAAGGGGGAGGTGGGGCCCATCTGCTAAATCCTTGGCTGACCGACTTTGAAAATTGTGGGTAAGATAAAAGGTGAGAGGACGTGGGGTGGAGAGGGAAGCTTGCAAGTTTGTAGAAGCGAGATTGAGATAGATAGAGAGAAAGAGCAGCCGGTTAGGAAAAAGAGTGGAAATATTCTCTTTAGCTTTCGAGGGTTTTTTTGGTGTTTTCTTCTGAAATCAAAACAAAGGTCCGAAGTGTTTTCGGATCTCTCTCTCTCTGCAAGGAAAGTGTCCGAAGTGTTTTTCTAGATTATTGTTTGTTTTTTGCTTTTTATATTACGATATCAAGCTTGTTTTGTTGGGTGTTTTGTGTGTGCTCTCTTGTTCTTTTGGCACAATCTGATAAACCCCTCCCTCGTAAGATCTGGGTAATACACTAATACTACCAAAGTTTTATCTGTTTGTATCTGGAGGAACTCACTCTTGCTCCTGCTTCTTCTTTTGTTTCCTAGCAGACAAGCAGTCAGCCAAGCTAGTGTTGGAAGCTATCAACTGGTGGGATAACCGGAGTTTTTAGCTTCCAAAAGCTAGTTTTTGTGTCCACTAAGCCAAGAGAAAATCCTTACCCTTAACACCCCACCCCCACCACCCCCAATCCCAATCCCAATCCCAACCCCAACATCAGCATATATTCATTTTCCTTATGCTAGTCATGTCTGCAAATATGTTTACAGTTCCCCCTTCAGTCAATGGCTTTTCTCCAGAGCCAGCTGATACGAACCCTACTAGCAGTAATTCCAATCCCAAATCCAACTCCACCACCACTAACCCAGCTGGCAAAAAGAAGAGAAATCTACCAGGAAACCCAGGTAAAGCGGAGACGAGCCTTAAATTTCAGTTGCTATAAGCTCTCTGATTTAATTCACTTGGCAAATGAATTGGCATGCACCCTTTTTAATATGTGCTTTGGTTATCATGTAAGTGTTAGGACTATACTAGACCACGGAGCCTAAACTGGAAAGACTTTCAATTAATTTCCCACCCTTGGTTCTTCTTAAAATTAGATCCAGATGCTGAAGTTATTGCTCTCTCGCCCAAGACCCTTATGGCAACGAACAGATTCATATGCGAAATTTGCAACAAGGGTTTCCAAAGAGAACAAAACTTGCAGCTTCATAGAAGGGGGCACAATCTTCCATGGAAGCTTAAACAAAGGACTACTAAAGAGCAAGTGAAGAGGAAGGTGTACATATGCCCAGAAAAGACATGCGTCCACCACGACCCGTCTCGAGCACTCGGGGACCTCACCGGGATAAAGAAGCACTTCAGCAGGAAGCACGGGGAGAAGAAGTGGAAGTGTGAGAAATGTTCAAAGAAGTACGCAGTTCAATCGGACTGGAAAGCTCATTCTAAGACTTGCGGGACTAGAGAGTATAAATGCGACTGTGGAACGCTCTTTTCCAGGTACTAGCACTGGTACTATATATTTAGTATTTCTTTCCCTCTTTTGCAAACTTCGCAATCCTCAAATGAAATCCTTGTTTGATCGAGAATATTTGTCTGTTGAAATAAATGCAACTAGTAATGATATCAAGACATTTGTGGTTGGAACTGAATTAATTGCCGAGAAATCATTAGGATGAGTCAAGTTGTTTTCGAATTAAATGAGGGCGTTTCTAGTTTATTTTATTTTTCTCCATTTACTACAGAAAAGACAGCTTTATCACGCATAGAGCTTTCTGCGATGCCTTAGCTGAAGAAAGTGCAAGAATTACTTCTGTTGCGGCCAATAATTTCAACTTCAAAACTGATCAGCAGCATTTAAATGGTGGTGCTCTGCTAAATCATCCGGGTAGTTTTCCTCACGGACTGAGCGGTCCGTCTGGGATTTCACAAATTGGGGTAGACTTTGCAACTGGAAATCAGCTCAAGCCTAGACTTTCATTGTGGTTGGATCAAGCTAGCAATCCTCAGCTCAATCACGCTGATATGCCCCCAAGCCAAAATCTTTACATGCCCTCGGCTTCACACCATGACATCATGCAAATGTCGTCGGCTGCTGATGTCTTTGGCAATTATGGCATGCCTTGGCAGCAGCTGGAAAAGAGTAGCGCACCACCGTCATCAGCATCATCGTCTTCCGCAGCAAATCTCTCCTTATCGCCGATGATGCCCCAGCAAGTCTTAAAGGATGAGGGAGCCGGAGGCAGCATTAACACCCAAACCCTTTCTTCTTTGTACTCCCCTAGTGCTGCCAGTAACAATGATATCAGTCATTCAAAATCTTCGGCGACGCCAATGTCGGCCACTGCCCTTCTCCAGAAGGCAGCTCAGATGGGGTCATCTAAAAGCACCGCAGCAATCTTCGGCAATGGCTTCGGCATAATGAACCCCTCCTCTTCGTCGTCTTCTCCTGCTGTTGCTGCTAATATGATTGCCCCAGCAGCTTTTAGCAGTGGTTTAGCGCAAAATAGGACAGAGATGATGCAGGTTTTCGGGAAGCAAACGGACAATATGATGGGCGGGGGTTCGAATATGACTTCGTCAACCAGTTCCACGTTAACCAATAATCTGGATCATCAGCCCATGGTGCAAACCAGTACTGTCGCAGACAGCCAAACTGTGGCTTCCTTGGGCGGTTTTCATCGTCACCCGGGATTCAATGCAGTCGTCGAACACGCAAGTCTAACCAGAGATTTTCTTGGAATGGGTGGAGACGGCGGACGTCCTTTCTTGCCACACGAGCTTGCGAAATTTGCCTCAATGAGTTCAGCCATGGGTTTGGGGCATTTCAGCAGCAATCACTAGCTAAGAATTATAAATGCTTCCTTTCTTTTGGGTTCTGCTTTTCTTTTTATTATTTTTTTTCCTTTTTTTCACAATCGTTTCGTGTCTGGAAGTCAAAACTAATAATGTAAAAATGGCTGTACGTACTTGGTACAACTAGAATGCAACCTTACCTTATGATCAGGTGGCCTATATATTCACCAAAATGTACAGGCCAGGGTGAGCTAGATTTGTTGATAATTATCTGTACAGGTGCCTAGCCTCCACGAGGCCTCCGCAACCAAAAATGAAAGGAAACGGGAGAGAGAGAGAGAATGAGAGCGTGAGAAGGTAGACGTAGGCATTGCGACAAAGGGATGATGATGAAAGAAAATTAGATGGGTAGGTTATGGTTTTGTGGCCGGTTTGATGATTGATGGGTGGGGGACTAATTTAATGAATGTTGGGAATGCGACGGGAGAAATCAGAAATACTACTGAGAAGAGCATGCAATTTGATTTGATTTGGGAGCATGCACAAGCGGCAACTGGGCCTAAATGCATGTTGTTTACTTCTTCTTGTTCACATCTGCACGGCCTGACTTCCTTCCTCTGCGTCCCTGAGCTGTGTGCTATGTGGTCTCCTCTTGTTTGTTTGCTTCCTTCCTTTCTTTTTTCCCCAAAAACAGTGACTGTGGGTGTAATAGGGTCGCATCGCTATCGCGACTGCTCTCATTTTGGAGCCAGAACGGCACGGAATACTACGAGATTCGTTGTTGACACAACACGTCAAGGTAATCCAACGGCCCCATGTCGTCAATGTCTGTTGCCTCCTTTAAAATTCTTTTCGAGTAGTATAATTGCTACGAGTACGAGTACGTAGTCTCTCTGCCTTCTGTCATATTTTGTCCTCTGACAATGAAATGGTGGCCTCTTTTTTTTTTTCTTCCTTCTCTTGCCGTTTTTGCCTTTCTTTAGATTGTTTCACTCAACGAGTTAATCAAAACTTAAACATGGTATGTAATTGGTTTTGATATTTAGGAAGAAATGGCCAGGGCCGTAATGGATTTTTTTTTTTTTACGTTGTTCGGATTAATTTTCCATCCATGAAACTGTAACATGAATCCAAATAAACAGTACCTACCGCTGTTGATCTTCTTCTTCTCTTTATATATAAAAGAAAGATAGATAAATTAGAGCCATATGTATAATTACTCCTACAGAATTTGCTTTCCAGTTTAAACAATCCGCCTTCAATAGCCAAACTATTATATATGGACATGAATCCCAGATTTCAAGGAGAAACCACAGCTGGCTGGCGTTGGTAATTAACCAGATTTAGCTTTATATATGTCACTTGGAGAGTGAAATATCGGCTACTCACACTTTGGTTTTGTACTAAGGCAAATACTACTATATACATTGCCGGCCCTTTGACTTCAGCTTGGGATTAGATCCTCAGGAAAGGAGGACTTGTTTTTCAAAACTATTCCATAGAAAAGAAGATGAGAGGCCAGAGAGCCGCTTTGGAACTTAGCTAAGGCTTTTTTTTTTTTAATTATTTATTTATTTATTATTTATTAAAAAAAAAAAAAAGAGGGTCTGGGAAACAGCGTGGTCGTCTTTCTATGACTTTGATCGTGTTCTACACAATTTACCTTTCTTTACTAAAACTCCAAAAAGTAAAGTAAGAAATTCAAGGCAGCTATATTATATGGTACTATATAGTATAAAGTTGCCTTTTCATGCATGGTGATCCGGGGATATGGAACATAGAGATGGCAACCTGTGTTTTCTCGGAGGGACAGTTTTTTGACTTTCCAATACACCCCCCCCCCCTTTTTTTTTTTTTTTTTTTTTTGGGTTGGGTTCTGTAATTTAATTCATCAGTAAACTCAGATAGAACCTGGGACTGAGAGCGAGAGGCTGCGAGGTCCTTCCTTCCTCCTTTCCTATAGTATTATTATTAGTTACATGCATATATATATATAGGTCGTTTTTGACATTAACGTCGAAGTTCGAATCAAACCTTCTAATTAAACAGTCGAGCCCCCCGATGGCTTTCCTCAGCCTACTCATATTGGATAAACAAACCCGAAGAAGAAAACGAAAGGCTAATTGAGAGCTTTGGTTGAAAAGGACTACAGCATTATCGTGATGTTAAGAGGGGTTTTTTTTTTTTTTTTTTAAAAAAAAAAAAAAATTCCTCATCTTAATTTCCTATTCCTGGTTTCTTTTATTTATCCCTGGCTATAATTGACTGGTGGTTGTGTCGCCCGCCACTGACTTTTTCGAACTTGGACGGTTCCGTGACCGGCTAATCCCTGATTCTGTGCCCCTCTTTCTTTCTTTTTCTTTTTTTTTTTTTGTTTATTAAATTACCAAACCAGTCGAAATGAAACCTGTTAATAAAAAAGATGATAAAATGAACAAAATATTAAATTACGACCTCTTTTTTTTGTGGTTTTCTTTTTTGCATGTGTGTTTTCATGCAGATGTGGCGTTCTGCTAATTCCAAGAACTTTCTACCTGCTCTAACGAAATCTTCAGCTAAATAGATTTCGTGGCATGAATTCTTTTCATAACTGATGTTGATTGGTGCAACGGAATATGACAAGTCAAAGTCAGGGTAGGATTGCGGAATTACATGTAAATAAAAAAAAAGAGCAAAAATTACAGAATAATAATAATTCAATTGGCAATTAGAATAGGTATTATGTCCTTGTCAAATGTCAATTTTTGAGCTGGAAATTAGACAAATTGCATTTTTATTATTATTTATTTTTTTTTCCCCCAGGCCGAAACGACGGTACAACATTTAACGACTCAATGTCACTTTGCGTGATGCTTAAACGCTCGAGAAGGGTATATACGAGGAAAATGCAAATTTAATGCTGCCTTGTTCGTTTCTCAAGTACTTTCGCTCTGCTTTTTTCTTGCCCACCCTCAAGTAGTTTAGAACTTGTCAAGAAAATTTTGAATCACCTTTGAAGCTGTTGCGGCCTTGCATATAGACCCTTATTTATTTTTCGAGTTTTAAATAACGTCATCATTTTGTTATTTCGTGTGACTTTAATAACTCCATTTTCTTTAATATATATATATATATATATATATATATATATATTAGATTTGGCTTTTTAGAGCGTGTGATTATTTAGTTATAGTGTTAAATTTGTAATGTAAGGTAGATGTTAGGCCTTGTTTCATAACCCAATTCAACGCTTAAATTTAATGGATTCAGATCTTAATATTTCCAGGCATGTTTGATGACAAAAAATTGAACATCTAAATTTATTAAATAATAAATTATTTACTTATCACTTAATGTGATATACACGCAAATCAAACAGATTTAGTACTTAACAATTCAATAATTTAATGAACTCATATTTCAATTTTACCAAATGCACCCTCGCTGTAAAATCGTGTACTTGAGATTAGTACACAAACAACCAAGCATACCGCTCACTCCATATGTTGTTCCTGTGTTTTCTCTAATAAATAAGTTCGTTAATTATTTTCAAATTAACATTTTCCAGTTCTCACTATTTCTTTTTGCCTCATGTGCAATTTTCCAAGTCCCGACCGATAAACTTACTCTTTCGTTGTTAATTATTGTTTCTTTTTTGGTTAAGGGGAAAAACAAGAAAAAAGAGAGTTTTAAAAGAAAATTTCAGGAACTTTTTTACTGTCGCTCACCTAATTTTCGTACCAGCTGAACAGGAGGGTTTTACGTGCCACTTTAAGTTAGTTTGGTTACTTGACTCAACTGTTGCAGCGTGACGGAAGATGCGATGATTGGTCCAATTATATCAAGCATGTTCACTCGCTGGGCCCTAGAGTTAGAAATGGGGTCCCAACTCGCCTGACTTGGAAATTTATTTGCTTGGCGAGTTGATTGGTTCTTTATCCCTATATGCATTTTTTTGTGTAAGAAATGAATTATCACTGTCAAGAAAGTGCTGTAGTAAGGCCGTGGTAGCACGGCATTGGTAGCACGGCCTAATGAATCGAGGCTCTTGTTGTAAGTTACAGCTTTGGTCCTCCGTGTCCTTTTTATTTAATTTTGGGGTGGAACTCTTGTCTAATATCTTGTTTTTTTTTCAACAGCCTGAATCAGACTTTTGTTGTTTTATAAACCTAATCCCAGAATTAACCTCAAAAGCCGGCAACTCTTGAGGCAATCCCAGGGACTTATATCCCAACCCAAACCCAACCCCAACCCCGATGTGGGACAAATGTACCTATAGGGGGGACCTGCTGCTAAGTGGGATACTACCACCCAATACCCTTTCAACCCTGAGGCAATTTGTCTTTTTTCAACAGCCTGAATCAGACTTTTGTTGTTTTATAAACCTAATCCCAGAATTAACCTCAAAAGCCGGCAACTCTTGAGGCAATCCCAGGGACTTATATCCCAACCCAAACCCAACCCCAACCCCGATGTGGGACAAATGTACCTATAGGGGGGACCTGCTGCTAAGTGGGATACTACCACCCAATACCCTTTCAACCCTGAGGCAATTTGTCTAATATCTTGTTTGATAACCTAATTCATCGCTTAGATTTAATGAAATCAAATCATTACTTTAATGAAATCAAATCTTAACATATTCTAATCATTTGATAATCAAAAATTAAATATATAAATTAATTAAATAGCACTGAATTTTATATACAAAATTTGCACTTAAAATTAAGTGATAAACTATTCACTTATCGCTGAATGTGATAGACACTCAAATATATTAGATTTAATATTTAATAATTCAATAATTTAATAAATTCAAACTTAGATTCAGACTTCAATTTTTAAATTTCAATTTTATCAAACACGTCTTAATATTTACGAGACTAATTTATTTACGGATCGAGGGCTACATGATTTTGAATCCCACATTCGACTGTGTTAAGACGAGAATCCTCCCGGGAGTACTCGATGAATGGCCCACAGAGCCGCATCATTTTTGGCCCAAAAACAGCAGTTAGGAGTCCAACCCACAAACTCTTGAATCTTGATAAAGGCCGAAGAGCATCACCACCACTCCAACTCGCACGCCCAAGACCAACATCAAAACGTTTGAAAAATACTTAGCCTCCTTAGTACTCTTTTATTTTTCCAATTTCATTCTATTTGTCAAAAAACTCCCAAATATATATCCAATTAGCTCCTGAACAAGGATAGAATTCAATTAGGCCCTATTTGATAATTCAATACACCACTTAAATTTAATGGATCCAGATCTTAATATGTTTAGATGTATTTGATAACAAAAATTTAAACATTTGAATTCATTAAGTAGCACTAAATTTCCTAAACAAAATTTGCTCCAAAAAACAAGTAATAAGTTTCTATTCACACGTCGTACAAATTTGTTTGTGATATTAATCAACAACCTTTAATGCAAGTAACGGCATGAAATGTTTTTATCATTGAATTGGTTAAAATTTATAGTTATGTGAATATAAAGTTTTCTTTTGACTTTTAAGATTGCATGTATTGTAATACTATCAAACAAGTCAATGATTTAAAACGCAGTTTTTCTCTCAAATTTAAGGATAAAAAAGGATGATCATTCTCGTCGCATAAAATCACCTAAGGTTCATGCTAGACCAAAGCCAATAGCAAAAAATGGGCAGACAAGACAATTGATTCCAATTGACAAATGAACTTTGAGTTTAGTCGTTGAACTAAATGATTAGTAGTACCCATAGTTATTAAAACCGGCCCGGTCTGATTGTTCGATCGGTCAATCCGATGAACCGGTTTTTAAACCGGATCGGTTCTCTAATTAGATCGTTTTTTGCAAGTGAATCGTTGACTTTTCAACGGATCGACGGTTCAATCGGATTAAATCGAAAATCCGACCGTTTTTTGTGGGCAAACCGATTTTGAGAAAAAAAGTCTTTCCAAGCCTTTGCTTGGATTCAAACCCAAGACCAAATTATGACACGCTTACCACCAGGGCACTTTGTCACTTGTTAATTAATGGCCATTCATATGTTATATGAACATTTTGTTAATTTATCTTTATTTTTTAATTCTCCAAAACAAATTTATTTGTAATCTTTTAATAAAACTTATGACCCCTATATTCTATAAATTATAAAATAGATTTCAAAAATAACATATTACATAATTTATTTTAAAGACAAATATTTTTTTAATAATTTTTTGCACTTAAAACTCGTAAATAATCTAGATTATTACATTAAATATATAAAATTTTACACTTGAAGTTTGGTGGATTACTAATTAAATTTATGTTTTGCTGATTCTTATATAAATTAAATATTCTATAGCAAATTAAATGAATATTTGTTATGACATTATTTATTACAATTCATATCATATACTCTATATCAAAATTTATAAGATATAATATTTAAATATATTTAGTGACCCACTGGTTCAATCACTCACCCACGGGTTGAACCAGTGACCCGTTGATCCACCTCCTTCGCCGATCTCCTCTCCGGCCGAGTTTAATAACTATGTTAGTACCTAATTGCCAACTAGGACCGTTTGGTGGAGAGAGAGGAAAGCTCGTTCCTCGCGGCGTCCTGTGATTAGCCATGCACTGCCTGTTAAATAGACTGCAAGAACACGTGGAGCCTAATGATAGGTGGGCTTAACGTGGAATGACGTGCAGAGTTCCTAACGTAGTACATGATTACCAACAGGTGTGAACAAAAAAAAAAAAGTAATAAATGAAGTTCCGGGTAAACAGGTGTAGATGAACAAACAGAAGAACAAGATCAAGAAAGCCTCTCACGTTACGACTCCGTCCCCTCTGCTGGCCCAAATTCAGATTCAACCCAACATCTTAGCAAAAGTTTTATTTTCCAGCGGCTCCCGCTCTCATTGTCTCTCAATCGTCTACCCCGTATACGTGCTCGACCAGCTCAGACGGACGGTCTTAAGTCTTAACCGACGACGCCGACGACAATAACACTATATAAATATAAAACAGTGTGAGGGTTGAATTGTGGAATTGAAGGGCTGCGAAGAGAAAGAAAGTGATGAGGAGGCAGTGGTCGGCGGCGGCGGTGGATTTGATAGCTTGTGGAGGCTTTGCGTTCACCATATTCCTACTCAATTTCGTATTGGTTTGCCAATTGCTCCTCCTTCACCCACTTGTTTCGGCATTAGGTATAACCTTTTTGTTGTCTTTTCTATTTATAGCAGGACTACCAACAACTTCCTCGCCATCTCTTTTTAATATTCGATGAATAGAATGAAAGTACCGAAAATCTGTATATGTTGATTAGCAGTACTTTTCTGATTAGTTCATCAACCTTGTCAGTCAAAGATTCGATCTTTCTTAGTGCGTTTCACTGGGTTGCTATGGCGGTTTAATTGTTTATCTGACACTGTTGCTAAATATTGTAGTACTTGGTATCTAGTTACATTTAGCTATGCCTCTTTAAGATGGTACTTTCGGATTATGAGAGAGCTTCCATGCTTGATGAGATATGAAACCTAACTTGTTTTGCCAGTAATGTGTAAAGGACTAAACTGCCACTACTTACTTCTCCAATGTCAGTTCTTCTATTTCTTTGGCTCCTGGTTTTGCTGCACCGTTGCAGTTCAGAATATCATTTGCAGTGCTTTCACTACAGGCAATTGTCAGAAGAAGACCATTAGAGCATAAGCATGGATGTTTTCTGCACACTTTTAAGTTACCTTTCTCTGTTGTAGTCATATAGCGTGCACTACCCTGAAAAATAACGATTTTGAATTGGATTTTTATAATGAAGCTTGACTTTTTGCTCTGCTGTTTCCTAAAGATGACTAGTGAGCTAGACCTGTGGTTTCAGCATTACATTTTATGCAGTAACTGCACCAGGAGTGCTATAGATAGCTTATACCCCAAGATTTAATTTTTACTGTCAATGACTTGAGTAAAAAGTGCATTCAGATGCTAAATGGTTCTCTGGAATTCAAGTCATTCCTGTATGCATCAAGATTTATGCTTAAATATACAGCTAATGATTTATTCTTGCTTATGCGTATTGCTTGTCAATTTCATGATGATGAAGTGCAGAGTCTTGTTTTTGCATCTTGATAATGGGTTAGATACGAGTCTGTTTCAGCAGTCCATCAGGGTTTGAACTTTTTAGTGTTAATTCCTAGATGGCAAACCTGGTGATGCTGCCGCATTGTTTCAAAGAGTTTCAGAAAGTGTAAAAGTCAAGAAATATACTGAGGCCCTTGACGACCTCAAAGCTGCCATAGACGCAGATCCGGCTCTTTCAGAAGCATATTGGCATCAAGCATCTATTCTTCGTCAGTTGTGCAGGTTTCCTTCTGAAAATATTCTAATCTACTGCATTTTGAATAAAAGCAAATCAGGACCCTACTCTAGTATATTACTGATGTTTCTTACATTAATAGATTTAATTGTCTTCCATTTTTGGGTTTGAAATAAGGATTTGTGAATAGGTGTCCAGTAGGACTTCTGAAAATTTACTTGAACATGAATACATTGTTTCTGGTTGCTTCTTGTTGTTCCATGGTCACTGGCAAATCTAAACAGTACTGCCTGCCCTCTTCCCTCTTAATAACCCCTGCTTACGTGTTTCCAAGGAGCTGAAAACCTTTTATTTTGGTTCTATCCATGATGTAACTGTATTTTTTTTTCTCGAATAAGTTCTCATGAATAAAATTTCTGTCTTCTACATGCTTGTATGGGCCTATGCCTAGATGTTCTTTGTTTGGTTTTCTTTTTTTGTTTTGTTGGATTCAATTCTTATAGTTCTGCCCTTTGTTTCAAAATTTTTTTTAGTTTTTCTTCTCTTTTAGTAGGAATCACGTGTATGTATCTTTCACATAGCTGCTGTGCTTCATCACCGAATCTCTTGCTTGATTTTTACATCAAAATTGTGTATCGCAAAAGAGGTTGATTCTGGCTATTAAAGAAGAGATGTTTTAATCATTGTAATATTATATGTTGGACTGGATCTTCCTCCATTGTCCTGGTTCCGTCCTAGGCTCCCTCCCTCCCCCCCTTCGCCAAAAAAAAAAACTACCTCTCTCTCTCTCTCCCTCGTTCTCTCTCTCTCTCTTTCCAATATCTGATTTGAAAATTATATGATTCTGGCAGTTTTTGGCTGATGTAGATACGAGGAGTCAGAGAAAAGCTACAATAAATTTCTGGAGCTGAAACCAGGAAATTCAGCAGCAGAGAAGGAGCTATCTCAGTTGTCTCAGGCTCAGAGTGCTCTGAATTCAGCTTCAAATCTCTTTGATTCTGGTGATTTTACAAAAGCTTTGGAATACATCGATAAGGTGGTACTTGTTTTCTCTCCAGCATGCTCAAAGGTAATCGCAGTTATTTCTATGGTCATCTCATGTCTATAGTTTTTATACTCCGTTTTGTGTATAATCTATTGGTTGCTGCAGGCAAAAATGCTTAAAGTGAGGCTACTAATAGCAACCAAAGATTATTCAGGTGCAATATCAGAGGCAGGATACCTCCTTAAAGAGGATGAAGATAATTTAGATGCATTGCTGTTACGTGGGCGTGCCTATTACTACTTAGCTGATCATGATGTTGCTACAAGGTTTGTTGAGAAACATGTTGGATCTGCTTTCTTCCTTCTCTAGGCCTGATAGGTTGGGGAAGGGGAGAGAAGGCTAATTCTGTGCGATACTACTTGGACTTCTGCTTAGCAGGATGTTTGATCTATTTTTTCTCAGGCATTACCAGAAGGGTCTTCGCCTAGACCCTGAGCACGGTGAACTTAAGAAAGCATATTTTGGATTGAAGAATCTACTCAAGAAGACCAAAAGTGTAAGTAAAAATGTTTTCTATACTTCTAGATTTTCCAAAGTATCTAAGAGATTTTCTGATTCTAGCTTGAGCTTGATGAGATTAATGCAGGCAGAGGACAATGCAAGCAAGGGAAAGCTTCGCCTTGCTGTGGAAGAATATAGAGCAGCACTTGCACTGGACCCAAATCACTCTGCGCATAATGTAAACCTTCATCTTGGTTTGTGTAAAGTCTTGGTCAAGCTTGGTAGAGGAAGCGATGCTGTATCAAGTTGTTCTGAAGCGCTTGAAATTGATGGGGAGCTTGTTGAGGCTTTGGTTCAGGTTTTTCTTTTTATCTGGGCTCACTATTCTCTAAATTCTTAAAGATGGATATGGTTTTAGTGTGAGAATGCTATCTATACTAGAGATGTGTGTATTACTGGAAAGAACTTTTTAGCCAAATTTGATCAGTAGGTTTCTTGTTCCATAAGATTGGTTTATTTTTGCTTTCAGAGGGGTGAAGCTAAACTTTTAACCGAAGAATGGGAGGGAGCTGTGGCAGATCTGAAATTAGCAGCAGAGAAATCGCCTCAGGTTTGTCTTGCACTTAAATTTCTTGAATTTTGTAGTATTAGGATTTTATCCTCTGTGGTCTGTGGGATAGCCAGGACCTTTGGCCGGGGGAGAAATGTCATATGTGTATTCTGCAGTTGGTTAGAGATGTTGTAATAACAAATTTGGCATGTTCTCCAATGCTACAGAATTGGAAATATACGTTGTGGTTCAATATAAACTTCGTATGCAAATTAATTATTTGACTATATTATGCGTCATGTTTCAAAATCTGTGTCATCTCTCAATGAAATATCTTTTGAAATGTTCAGCAAGTCCAACATTTTTTTTAAAATATGGTGCATAACCCTTTTCCAGCTTCTATGGGGGGCAATTGTGGAGAGCAATGTGGTTATTCTCAAATATTAGGGGTACAAACACAGTGCAATTTGCAAGAATGCAAGAATAATATCTTTCTTTAGGTGATCTTGTTATTTTCAGAAAATCGAATTTAGCTCTGCCAGTTTGTATGGTGGTCTACTTTCTTCCATGTTTCTAACACAATCGGTTGTATTTTGGTGTTTCACCAATTCATCGTGGGGTTTGAATGTTTGGTTGAGCTAATACTGGAATGGTTTAATTCATCCTTGTTCTAGTTTACACATAGAAATAAAGACCATAGAGACTGACCTTGGCCTCATAAAGTATTGTAGGCTTCTGGGAATAGGCCTTTCATTTGCTGTTTGGTACTTAGCATTTTTAATGAGAAAATCTTTGAAACTACAAATTGGATGTGATTGGTACATGAAATGATAAGCTTGTATGCTATTTTCTTGAGTTGGCTGAATTGTTCACAATCTGGATATCTGTAAGCTTTAGTGCTATAATTTAAAATTTTGATTTAATTGCTTAGGATATGAGTATTCGTGAAGTGCTGATGAAGGCAGAAAGATCTTTAAAGTTGAGCCAGCGGAAGGACTGGTACAAGATTTTGGGAGTTTCAAAAACTGCACCTGTCTCAGAAATAAAAAAGGCTTACAAGAAACTTGCATTGCAATGGCATCCCGATAAGAATGTTGACAATAGAGAAGAGGCAGAGGCCAAATTCAGAGAAATAGCAGCTGCATACGAGGTCTGTTTCAGAGCATGTCCTTTTATGTCTATCATTTTTTATGTGCTCTTGTGCAGTTAATTTCCGTGTTCAAATACTTAAAGCTGCAATGCATTAATATTTATTTATTTTTTAAAAATTTCAAGTCCCAGATTCACTGACATCGTACTTGGGAATGTTTTCTTGATTACAGTAGTGCAAATAAAAATGCTGTGGAGTTTTGTATTCTTATGGTCTCAATCAAAAATTCCATTTCTGAACAGCTATATGTTTCTCATTTTTGGAATTTTCTTCCTGATTTTGATTATAACTATAATCAGTTAAAATGAAGATCAACTACAGATTAGTTAACTTCCATAATGGATAAAAAAAAGGTTTGAGAGAAATCAGTGTGCTAGTTCTAAATGGAAAAGGATATTTTACGGCAACAGAAGGTTCTGTTCCATAACTCTCAGAAGACAATTTTCCTCTCTTCTCTAATTGGAAATGTAAAGGATATTTATCGGTATTCTTGTAGCCAGATAATAGTTCTACGAGGAGTTGTTTTGATTGTAAGTTGGAACGAATAAGTCGGGACCCCTTGGTGTAAGAAACATGCTAGGAGTTGCAACAGATTTTTATCCGCAAGATGCAAGTTGTTTCTCCAAGAAAAGGCATCAAGTTTTGGAAAGTCCTGTCTCTCTTTGTTAATAATCATTTTTCTGATGATTTTTCTTTTCCTGTGCTTTTGAAAAGTTGGCCATCTTCCTACTGAGCTGAAATCTCTGGATGCTTTCTATGTTGAAAAGGAGACATGGCTGTGCAAGTCTTGCTTACATTGTTCTTTTTATTCTTGTCATTTCAGGTTTTGGGAGATGAGGAAAAGCGTACCAGATATGATAGCGGTGAAGACATAGATGATATGGGTTCTGGAATGGGTGGTGGAGGATTTAATCCGTATGGTGGTGGGGGGCAACAATTTACCTTTCACTTTGAAGGAGGGTTTCCGGGTGGTGGCTTTCCTGGTGGATTTGGTGGTTTCCACTTTTAGCTGTGGTGACGTTTTTATTATTTGCTTTGTGCATCTGGAGAGAAGTACAGTAGGCAGATAATATTCTTTGTAAGAAATTTGAACTGACCGAATGGAAGGTCTATAGGGGATTGAATCAATTTGTTGGCACAATTTTGCTTGGGGGATATTTAGTAATCCAGTAACAACTGGTCAAGGAAATAGATGAGCCCTTGTATGAGCTGATACCAGGTCCTTTTTAACTGATAATCTGAGGATCGGTTGGCTTGATTGGATCCCGTTTTGTTCCTCAAATGTCCACTAACAGAATCCTCGTGCAACAAAAGCGTACAGGAAAGAATTTCCTTATCATTGTTTTTCTTGAATCATTTCTGAAATGCTAACCATTATGTTTACACGTTTATTGCTTAAAAGGAATTTTGCTTAACTGCTTACAGATATATGTCTGCTTGTTTGGATCAGCATACGATAATTTCTTCTTTGAAATAGCTATGTTTGCATGATGTGCAATTGGCTGGTAGGTCATATCTGCAGTAACTAATGCATGACTTGTGTTTGCTTCTAAACCTGCATGCGACAGCTCTATTGGAATAAGGTCTCCACTTGGGTAAGCTTCTGTAGCTGCTATACTTCTTGGCTACGGATATCCGGTGTTCTATCTTGCTTTTAAGCTAAAGCGGACCATGCTGTAAGCGCGGTTCGTTTTCCACATTTCAGAATATCGTTCTTGTCGGAAGTGTGTTGCTTTATAATCGTTTCAAATCAATTAGGTTTACGTCTATATGATCCCTGCTTTCCTTGTTGGGCTTGGAATGAAGCTTATACAGGGAACACGAATGATCTGTGGACACACCTTATCAATATAACAAAGCCTTCAAAACAGCAAATTCATATACATATTGCAAAAGAATAAATTGGCAATAGGAAATGAAAAGACAAGAAAAACAACCAAAGTAACAACACGCTGGCACACAGGCTTCCATCAACATCAGGTCCTCGTCCGCTCATCCGATCAACCAAGATGCTGCCAGAAGTGCAAATGCGTAGGAAGCTTGAAGCAAGCCTTCATGGATTAGACTAATTGCACCTGAAGATTCCACGGGCTTTGCAGTGGATTGAGCCTTCTTGGGTTTTGAAGGTGCTGGAGCTGGTGCTGCAGGAGGCGGAGATGGAGGTGGAGCAACGAAGAACCTTTGTGGAAGAAGTACTCGATCCACCTGATACACAGCAAGCTGGTTATCAGTGTACACTGTGCCAACAACTGATGCACTGGCAAAACCTGTGGTTAGGTTCACTGCAGCTGCTGATGTGGTCACATTGAGCGGAAACTCGCCGTAATTAGTTCCACCAGCTTGTGTGCTCAATGGATTGCTCGCGGTTTGGAATTGTTGGACGGACATAAAAGAAGGAAGGATATGGGACTGTATCAATTCGGCTTGCTGCTGGTTAGAGTAAGAGTTCAGGCTGCCTGCTTTGAGTTTTGCAAATGCAGAATCATCTGGGGCAAAGATGGTAAGGCCTTGCTCGGACTTGTTGAGCTGCATGTTGATTCGATCTGCAGATTGGGTGCTTTTCAGAAGGCGAATAAATGCAGAAAACCCACCGGCTTTTTCGAGGATTGCAGTGATATTGGTCGGGCCTGTGGGTGCAGGAGCCGCTGCTGGGGGTATTGGAATCGGTGCTGGGGGTGCTGGAACCGGTACTGGCGGTGCAGGAGCCGGTGCTGGGGACTGAGCAAGAATGGAGGTGAAATGGATGCAAAACAGCAACAGAGAAGCAAATGTTGGCATTGCCTGCATCATCTCCATGGATGGGATAGGCGGGGGTTCCACTTACTTTTGAAGTAGTAACTAATAAAATAATGAATGGCCTCGTGAAAGTCTGGGGAAGAAGAAAGAAGCTAATCAAAGCTGATCGAGTGTGTTGGACGTGGGATGCGTTTTTTGGTTCGCTATATATAGGGAGTTTAATTGATGGAATTTTCTTTCTTGCAAAATTTAAAACCCGAAAGTGAAATGGGGAAAAAGTTGAGTGGGGTATCGAAATCAGGGATTTAGCCTTTAGGTGGAAGGGTGCGATTTAAGGTGGCAGGAGATTTTGATGATGTTGAGGCAGCTGCGGCTTTGCTTGGCATGGGAGGAAAACCAGCTATTGGATTATCATGCCATTTTTCCATCGCCATCAATCATCATTTAGGCTAATCATAGACATATATACATACGACAGCTTCTTCATCTGTTTTCCAACGAAAATGATTTTTCTCCAAAAAAAAAAAAATATATATATATATATATAATTGGTAAGAGAATACTTTTTCCTCTTGAAATCTGCGAAGTGGAAGTAATAAAAAGTTAATTTGCTTTTGGAAAGTCTGAGAAATTTGTCAGGATATATATATATATATATACACACACACAGAGATTTATCCAGATGGAAAGCAAGAGAAATGTCAAAATCTTCTAGTTAGGCCGCCGTAATCCGTCTGATTAATGCATGTATAGCAGGAAATGCAAAGGTACATCCATTATTATCGACGTGGACGTGCGGAACAAACTTTTGTTCCGCAAACGGGCCGTTAAATCAATTGCTCCATTAATGCGTAACGATTGCCGGCTCGAGTGGACGCAGTTTTAATAGCCTAACACTATGGGCTTCAATATTGGCTGGGCGCTTTCTGCTAGGCTACACTTCGGGGGCAACGTATGGGTTTTGTTTGGTCTGTTGGGTGCCTGTCCTACAATTGGGCCTAATCTATTAAGCCCAATACCTGGAACCGGAGGCCTGCTCTATAGTCATCATGCACGCCTCTGCGTCCGCATCCGGCTGAAAATGAGGATGCCGCAAATAAGAAGATTTTGATCGTGTAACGTGTTGTGTACTTGCTTTACTAACCTACTTGGTGAATACTTTTCGGTAAATAATTAATTGTGTGATCTGGCTAGAATTTTTCAATAGCAATTGCACGATCGATCCTACTTAGCGGCCAATACAATAACAAAGTCGGTATGTGTCAATGGTAAAAAAATTTTAAATTAGTCGAATGTTCGATCCATTCCACAATGGTGAGTTATATACAGCCTTACAAAAGAGTAAAATGATCAAAATTTACACCCTCAGCAATATTCAACATTAATATATAGTTAGGAAAAAAAAAATCAACCTGGTTGATTTTTGTATGACTCCCGTTTGGAGTTGTGATAAATTATTGAAAAGTACCTCCCTAATACCTGAGCGCTTTTAAATATATTGTTTGGAGATATTGTTCGACGAGTACTTTGTAGTAATAGATAATGCGTAATTTGAAAATTTTTAAATGTATTTATCTTTTTATTTAGTTCATAATATAGGAAAAAATGATTAAGTTAAGCGTTTTATTTTTAAAATCATAAAATTACTCTAAAAAGCACTGAGCTTGAGCGTTTGTTAAAAATATTTTTAACACCAAAAACTGCATTCCTAATTTTATGAAATGATGGCTCTGTTTGGATTGTAAATTATTTGAGATATTTTTACTGTAACATTTTTTGTGATGTGATGTATGTGAGATAAAAAGGTAATTGGAAAGATAAAAAGATGCGTTGGAAATTGTAATGATGATGTAAGCAAATAAATTTTGGCTAATAATTCTCTATCCAAACAAACCCGATGGATATTTATTAACGGTGTTAAAAAAAGTACACCGTAACTCCGAAGGGGCCTAAACATCAGTTGCATACACGGATAAACATCTCGTCGACCTTTTAAAAATACCTCCTCCGTGGTGCCTGGTGTCTACGAGACGTGTATGCCGTGCGTCTCCAATTCACAGTAGTGTCACTCCTTAGATGATAAACGTTACCCCTCGGTTGAACTAAACTGACCCCTTCGCCATCGGCATCGGACAGTGGAATTCGCACACACTCGCGCACACATTTGCACCGAGAAGAGAAGCAGAAACAGGAGACTTTGGTTGTCCTCCCGACTCCCGATCCTCCGTTCCCAAAACCCAAACCCCCCAAAACAAAAGTCAATGCCCTGCGACAACAAAAACAACAACAACTACAACTTACCCCCTAAATTCCCAAAACTCAAAACTCGAAAGCTATTCCGTCATTAAACATTAAAAACGCTTCCCCCTCTCCCAGGACCGGGAGGCCTTTCTCCCCTGTTTGCTTCTGCCTCTGCCTCTGGTCCCATCCCCCTTATATTTCACTGATACAACAAAACAATAAACACCCGAAACGCAATTCCTTCACAAAACGGACCCAATTGAAATTGCAACTGTGTGATCGATCCCATTGCAATTTAATACTGCCAGGAAAAGGGGGATTTTGATTTGAAGACGTATAACTATCAATTGTTGGGTTTGTTTATTTGAAAAAAAAAAAATGATCAATACGGCCGGAAGTAATAACATGATGTCGCCGTCGGCTTCATCGGCCTCAGCAAATAATGCACAATCGCCAGGTTTAAAGACGTATTTCAAGACGCCAGAAGGGAGATACAAGCTTCAGTACGAGAAGACTCATCCTTCTGGTCTGCTTCACTATGCCCATGGGAAGACCGTAACCCAGGTTATTCGTTTCTACTCAGTTTAGGGTTTTATTTTTCCTTTCTTTCTTTTTACAGCTTTCATGTTATCTAGCCTGTTTTGCTAAACCAGCGTTGGTTTGTGGACCGAAGAGCATTAGCATTAGAGGCTAGATTCCCATATTTTTTTTACAGTGAATTTTGCAACTTGAAATTAGTACAAATGGCTAGTTTGCAATTGAGTTTTTTCGTGGTTAAATTTAAATGTATTTATCAGATTTTGACTTGGGATTGTTATCAAGTAGAATTGAAGTCCATTTATAGTGAATTTGGAAATCTGACCTTCACTTAATCGGAGTACTTTATTGCTTTGTATAAAATTTAGAACTTCGATCCAACTTATATCGTTGATACCTTTTGTTTCTGTTGTTATCCCCAATTATTTGTGTTGAATATCTAGGTTTCTTTTTTCGGGTTGTAGTTTCTCATTACAAAATTAATCTGCCCAGGAACTAAGAATCAATTCTTGTTTAAGGTTCACTTGGGCATGAAAAGAAAAAGATAAGACAAAAAAGAGCTGGCTATGCTTAGAAAAATCTTGCATGGTCAACAGTGTGCATCTAAACAAGTAAATCAGAACCAAGTTTGTGTTTTGAGGGTTTTTTTTTTCATGGTCAGGTAACCCTAGCTCATCTCAAGGATAAGCCAATGCAGGCACCATCACAATTATCGTCAAGTCTTGGAGTAAGCAGTGGTGTTAGGTCAGCTGCAGCACGGTTCTTGGGTGGAGGGAATGGAAGTAGGGCACTTAGTTTTGTTGGAGGAAATGGAGGCACTAAGTCAGTGAGTGGTAGTAGTAGTAATAGAGTTGGGTCATTGGGGGCTTCAAGTTCTAACAGTGTGATATCTAATTCAAATTTTGACGGCAAAGGCACTTACTTGGTATTCAACGTTGGCGATGCCATTTTCATAAGTGACTTAAATTCTCAAGATAAGGTACTATAATGGTTGTCTTGATCTTGTTTCTTCAGATTATATGCACTGGATTAAGTTTTGAGAGGTTTATGTTTCGTGTAGGATCCTGTAAAGTCTATACATTTCAGTAATTCAAATCCTGTTTGTCATGCATTTGAGCCGGATGCAAAGGATGGGCATGATTTGCTTATTGGATTAAATTCTGGAGATGGTAAAGTTTTTAGTTCTACTCAAGAAGTACTTCCCTCTCTCAAGTATTTATGAGCTATTCAATGATTCCTTGGGAGGCTAATTTTTTCTTTAATTCTTAGTGTACTCTGTGTCTCTTCGACAACAGTTACAAGATGTTGGCAAGAAGCTTGTCGGTGCGCAGCATTATAATAAAGATGGTTCTGTGAATAATACGTAAGATCATGATTTTATCAAATTTGTCTTTAAAATATCGTCTCTCCAATTTTGTTCAAATAGCATCTAGTGCTTTTATGCTGTGTTTCTGATACATCATCTTGGTTGTCTGTAGAAGTTTGTTTTCATGTATTTCTGCTGAGCTGATATTCACGAGGTTTATAATCCCAATGATAGAAATTGCTCTTTAGAACAATGACTTTCAAGAACAATATTCTTGTCCTACTTATGCTCCCCTTGCATTGAAAAAGGGTAAAGAAATAAGAACAAAAGAAATAATGAAATTTTTCCAAAACAGTTCTTTTTAGCAAAATTTTAAGACTAATGGTCGTTTTCTTGATAATTATTATAGTTTTTTCAAGATCTTCTTGTTACCTCTTCAAACCTTATTTTCTTTGCCTAGACCACAATATGTTTCCAAAGTTCCTCCAATCCCATGGCTTCTTGCTTTACTATCTCACAACCATGTTTAATGATGTTTTATCTCACAACCATTCTTTTAGTACCTCATAAGTTACTAGTTATTTTGCTTGGTCTCGTGATTGATTGGGTGGCGACTAGCAGGCAGGATAGTGCCCATTGAGTTTGCTTTTCAACACGTAATTTGAAAGCTTATAGGTGCTTTAACTATTGGGACTGCTTTATTAAGCTCTTCAAACTTAAATCTCAAGTACCATGAGAATGCAAATTCAGGGTACTGGTAAACATCTTTGTGGTAGAAGGTCTAGACTTTTATTCTCAAGTGTTACCTTGAGTCCACTACTTGGTTTCGTCTTGGGTTGGTTGTATGGGAGGGCATGTGGTGGCGTTTAATTTTAGTTCACAGCTACTTTTAAGTTTTAAAGTTGACGGTTACTTAATCAAGTGAATAGAAAAGTTGCATTAGATGCCTTGAGACCATTGATCAGCAACAAATATATTCCGTAGTTGTGTTAGATGTCTTAGGACCATTGAACTACAATAATTATGTTCCTTTCCTTATGTTGAAATATATATTTTTTGGTAGTCCGGAACTTCCTCGCTGAGTTCAAATAATTTGCTTGTGTTAGCAGTCGTTGTGCAAGTATTGCTTGGGTACCCAATGGTGATGGCACATTTGTTGTTGCTCATGCAGATGGAAATTTGTATGTATATGAAAAGGCAAGTCTTTGGATATTGTTGATGTATGTTTTCTTTACATCTGCCATTTAATATCCACATCCGACTGGTATGTATCTGTGTTTCTTTCAGAGCAAAGATGGTTCTGGGGATCCTTCATTCCCTATTATTAAGGATCAAACCCAATTTACTGTAGTACATGCACGTTACAGTAAGGTACTGTTTTATTTAATGAGAGTTTATCTTCTTCATCCACCACTACACACGTATACTTCCTTCTTCTTGCTTAGCAAAATGTTTTGTTGATTGAGAAAGTAGTCTTCTATTTTGTCTAATGAGCATTCCTTCTTCATATTTGGATATGGTTACTATCTTCATGAACTGCTTTACTGGTATCAGTGGTAAGGTTCCTAGGTCTTGTTCAGCAACAGTGTGTTAGTAACTTCGAGTAGCAGTCAATAATTCTATACTATAGGTAGATAAGATTGGCTGAGCTAAATATAGTATGTTATACACATGTATTCTCATTTTAGGACTCATTTCTTGTGTAGCTTTACAAGGATAGAAGGATTTAAACAGTATTGCCTTTTGTTTCGGACTCTCTATTTAATTACTCCTATGCATGTAATGTGTTTGTTGTGATGGTCACTCATTATTTCTTTGAAGTTTCGTCAACATGAAGTAATGGTGTTACTTTGAACCCAGTTTGCTAGGGATCTGTGGCACCTCTCCTTTTCAGACCTTTATTGGTCTATTTGCCATTAATGATAATAATTGTAAATGTTCAAATGAATTTGGAGTAGGGATTGTTTTGGTGAGTGACCAATTAACTGATGTCATGTCTCTCACAACGTTTTGGTTTTCCATGGTGTACGATACTGACATGTGGTATTGCTAATGTGCTGTCTTAGCTGACTGGATACACTATCACAGACTTCTGTTTAGGAACTGGGAGACGACATAATCACTTTATTTTTTAAACTTATTCTTTTCTATTTTCATTCTTTATCTTCCATTGCTTTTCACTACAGTATATTATCTTCCTACCTGGAGAAGTATTACATAGGTCTGCACAAACTTTTTTTTTTTTAAGTTTGTGTCATCGGTATCTCGTTTATAGTTTTTTCAAGTTTATCCAGCTCTATTTTGAGTCATTTTCTGTTTTCGTACTCAGAATCCTATTGCTAGATGGCATATTTGTCAAGGTTCAATAAATAGCATCTCCTTTTCAGCTGATGGAGCTTATATTGCAACTGTAGGAAGGGATGGTATTATCTCCATCTAATAATTCTGTATTTTTGTGATAAATAAGTATCTTCAGATGAAAATAAGTAAATATGGAATGGCTGAGGCAGTTTAACAAATGTAGGTTATCTGCGAGTATTTGACTACAAAAATGAACAACTTATATGTGGCGGGAAGAGCTATTATGGTGCTTTATTATGCTGCACTTGGAGGTGAGTGTTGTCTCCCATCCCCCACCCTTCTCCCCCCCACCACCAAAAAAAAAAAAAAAAGGCCCGTCATTTGTTCATTAGTGCCTGTCATCTTCCCAGCTGATGACAAGGTTGGCCTTTTTCATCTGATTAAGCTGATCAATAAGAGTTTATTACCTTTTTCACAAGAGAAGAGATAACTGACAGTAAATAAAACAACAGCATGGATGGAAAATACATCTTGACTGGAGGCGAGGATGACCTGGTTCAAGTATGGAGTATGGATGATCGGAGAGTTGTAGCATGGGGTGAGGGACACAACTCGTGGGTGAGTTCTAGCAGGTCCAGTCAAAATTTTCCTTTTGTTGCATTGCATGTTGATGACTACCTCACACATTTTGTAACGGATGCTGGCAGGTCAGCGGAGTGTCATTTGATTCGTATTGGTCTGCACCAAATTCTGACGGCACTGGAGAAAATATTGTTTATCGTTTTGGATCTGTTGGTCAGGTACCATGGAGTTAGTGTAATATCTCTTTTGCCGTTTTCGTTCTATTCTTTTCGATTTGTCATGATATGTATCCATCAATCTGACAAGGATAAAATCTGTCATGGCCGCTAGATTCTTGTACATGTCCTCTTTCCTAGTGTCCATTGTGTGGTCACAGTATTGAGTGATATACTCCTTTTTATTCTTTTATTGTGATACTTAAACGTTGGAACCTTAGTCGTTTCATTTCATGTTATTTGAACATTACAAAATGCAAGAAAGATTGGTATTTATCAAGCCATACAATTTATTTGCTCAAAATCAGAGCCTTGCTAGCACATCCCATTGGTTTTAAGTGACTGCTAGTTTTCTGGGTACAATACTTAATTAGTCATGCTACAGGTGTTATATCTCCACCATCCGGCTGATCCAATCTTGGATTACTTGCAGTTTGGTGCACCTATTTTTGGACTAAATGAAAAATTATCAAACAAATCCTTGTGTGTAAAAGGAAGTCGAGACTTCTATGGCCATCTGCAAGTATCATCTCTGATCTCTATGTTTCTTTACTACTCCTTTCTTGTCGCACATCCTTCTGTGCCCTTTGATTAGGGACCTGACTCTCCACTCCTTGCAAGTCCATAGGTTGCCGATCCATGTAGCATTGGCACATTCACTGAAAATCAAAGTTGCGAGGGCTTGGGAGCTTCTTGTTGACTGGGCTCCCCTCTCCAACATAGTACTTTACTGTGATATTGGCAGTTAAAATTCCATTTGGCTGTTTAATGGGTGAAACTTGCTACTTGTTTGCCTTGTTGTTTAGGTTTTGGTATTAGACAAGCTAGGTTTTGGCTTGAGATTGTCTGTGCTGAGGCTGGTCTCATTTTATTGGTGAGGCCTGAACATCTCTTAAAGGTTGACCTTTTGCCGTTCAAGATCAAGTTAATTAAGCTCCCTCTGATTTACCTGAGAAAAGCATCTTATAGGTTTGCCTTGAAGATAATAATCAATATCTAGGAGTTATGTTTTAAGTCAAAAGTTCAATTTAGCCCAAGTTATCTTCTATTCATAAGAGATCTCCCATGTTTTGTCCTCTAACTTATTAACTGATTCTTCTCGTAGTATACATAATTGATATAATCTGTTAGGGCAAATCACGAGAAGAAAATCAATATCAAACAAAATCAACAATATTAGACGTCTAGGCAAATAAAGTTGTCTTTTCTCATTGAGTGATGGGTCGATTGATCTCAGGTTGGTTTAGAGATGTCAAGAAGAATTTTTCTGCTAGGCCCACCACTTTAACTTTGGGTTTGGGTTTGGGTTTGGCTTATAAACTGGGTTTTGGTTGGTCTATTGGTGGAATCTTCTTGGACTTTTAAGGGAATGGACACTTCTGCTAAAGAGCATCCTGGTTGTTTGGTCTTTGATTGGGATCTTTCTTCACCTTGGAAATGTCATTTTTATTGTACTTTGAGTTCATAAAATTGATTTTATCAGCCATGAACATGTTGAGGTGGAAAAATCTATGCTACCTAATAAGTACATCATTCATTTTACTTCGTTACATGCTCTTAGAAATCAAGTTCTTTGCGATACGCATCATACTCTTCACAACTTGATGTTGCCCAGGACACCCAATTGCTCTTATGGGATCTGGAGATGGATGAAATTGTAGTGCCAGTCCGCCGTCCTCCTGGTGGGTCCCCTACTTTTAGTACTGGAAGTCAGTCTTCTCACTGGGACAGCGCTTGCCCTGTTGGTACTTTGCAAACTGCTCCAAGCATGAGAGATGTTCCAAAGATATCTCCACTAGTTGCTCATCGTGTCCATACTGAACCCCTTTCTGGTTTGATATTCACACAAGAATCTGTCCTCACCGTCTGCAGAGAGGGGCACATAAAGGTCTGGATGCGACCCGGTTTTGCTGAAAGCCAATCGAGCAACTCTGAATCACTGTTAGGTACCAGTTTGAAGGATAAATCCTTGATATCAGGAAAGGCAGTCAGCTCCAGTTATAAGCAATGACCTGCCGTCAATGTGTCACTAGACTGTTGAGTCGAGCTGCACGGTGCATGCTGCTCTTGTCATATGTTTTCCTAGGACTGAAACATTATATGACTCGAGTCGTTTGCAGAGAGATATAACTGACAAGTTTTTTTTTTGTATAGCCAGGGCTTGAAATGCCATGTGGGCACCACGAAATTGAGGGGAGTGCCCGGCGACGTTGTAAGTATGAAAGGGCTGTCCATGAAATGACCGGCATAAATAATTGAAGCTGCTTAAAATTTGTAGTTTCCAGTTGCTTTTCGTCATCTGTAGCCAAATTTGCCTGGAAACAGCTGGTTGACATTTAAATTATGCTTTTTAATCTAACATTATTGGTTTTTTTTTTTTTTTTTTGGTGAACTATTAATTTATTTTTTTTTTTACATGCAAATTGAAAAAAATCCGTTTGAAATGCAGCGAGATAATTGGAACGGAGAGTGGGTTTGAATTTTGCGACCATTAGCTCAGGTCTGAAGATGGTAACTGCTAAATCGAAATTGTAACAAAGGGAAGCCTTTCAATGTTGCCTGGGTTATCTAAACTATGTAGCAGCTGCAAGTCGTTGGATTTTGTTGTAGTGTCGTCCATTCTATAAGTTGTTGGATTTGTTTTATTTTAGGATAAATTTCACATATACCCCTCGTGGATGAGAGGTTTTTAAGATCCACACCTTGTGATTTAAAAATGTCCTCTTACACCCATTGTAGTCTAAATAAATTTGAGTGGAAAACAAATTGAAATGGACTCTACTATTGACAATTTAACAACAATGCAACTAATTACTTGCTGCTAATAATAATGTCATGCTTTAATAAAGTGTTTCTTTTGAAAATGTCCCCAAACGAATGTTAGCACTCTATAAAAAGGCTCAAAGGTTCGCACTCCAATAGTGATAATTTGTAATTTAATTTTTTTTTTTTATAGATTGCAATTGTTAATTTGGAGGAATTTGTAGAAGAAAAATATTATTAAGACCTTTCATAATTAGAATCAAGTAACTAGTTGTACTATGGAACAGTGTATATAGATGGTAGTGAACTCCATTTTTATATGTTTTCCATTGAAATTCAAAGTACAGGGAGTGTAAGTGGACATTTTAAATTACAAAAAAAAAATATATATATATATTTTTTTTTTGGTATTTTGCGAATCCTTAAAATCTCAAGGGATACAAATTGGGGATAAAGAGAAGTATGTCTTTAATTTTGAAAGTTATATTTCATCAAAGAATTTTGTGAATAAAGTAATGAGTTAATTTTATGAACACTAACAGTGTATATATATCATCATGATACATATATAAAATTTTAATTTTAAATTCAAATTCAGATTATATGTCATACGTTTAACGGTGAAAGATTTTATGCTATAATGTACCACCGAATAAAAACAAGAGCGTGACCAAAAAGAAAGAAAAATGAAAAGCCTATAAGATACCACAGATGCGGTATACCACATGCTGGATGGTCCCTTCTCTTTCCCTATGAGTTTAGAGATCAAATGATGGTACTGTCATATTCCCACAGTTGCAGATGCCTATGATATAATAGAATTGCGAGAATTGATAAAACCCGCGACGTTATCTCACGTGATTCCCATCTTGCGATCAATTTTTTTGAGTTTGAGTTCTACTGGTTGTAGAGAGCATTTTGATGACTGGTAATACAATAACCGGTATTGGTGTTGTTTTCTATCCAAGACAAATTAGAAGGGAAAAAAAAGGGTTGTAGATGACGATGGACAGCCATCCTCATCAACCGAGGAATTCAAAAAATTGCAGCATAATCCGCAGGTTTCTCGACGACATGACAATCATAGCGGGACCCTAACAATTGGGCATTTTGGGTCAAGAGAGAGGTCGAGCGTTGGAGGGTAGAACTGTTGAATGAATCAGATTTGGTCTCGCTGGATATGAATTGCTCTGGGAATAACATCAGCCAGTCGGGTACTGAATTGATTCGCTTATCATATATCGCAAAAGAGGCAACTAATCCTCACCCCAAAGCCAAAAGCCAAGGTAACACAAGAGGTGAAAGATTCAGACTTCACAGATCTGATCCTCCCCCCACGCCAATGCAACTGGTGATTCGCTTAAACTTGACATATACACCATTCCCTGAAAGAATCCAAAAGCAACTGATGTACCTGGTTCTTGCTCCTCTTGCTGGAAGTCGCATCACCATGTTGGCTTGAACGATGAGTTTCACAATTTTTGACAACAGGTGTCAAGTGTTGCCACAAAGTCGAATGAGACTCTATTATGCAGTATATTTCAAGTAACCAGTAGTAGTAGCACTTTCCTGTACAATTGGCAATCCTGCTGTTTGGCGTTCGCGGGCTCAATGTGTTCACTGTCTATCCACGATCGATCCCTGAGGTGACCATACTACCTGCCTCTGGAGGCTCAGTTTGTTGTGCGCCCCTTCCATCTGACAACTCATTTGGGTTCAAAACCTCCTCAGAGGTGCGTTCCTGAGTCGACCAAGCATTCCACCGTCTCCTCCATTTCATGAGTTCAAAAACAATGGAAGTCCCACACATCGCACCTCCAAATCCAGCAAATGTCGCTAGCAGCACAGATAAAATTGCCTGTACATGAAGCTACTCTCCAGCAGCCATAAATGAAAATGCCCCGTCAGCATACGCTCTTAGCATTTCAGATTAATTAATCAACTCAAAAGATAATAACAATGTCATCTCTTCAAAGCCTTCTCCTACCTAGCAAATCTTTAATTATCATTCTAAATGAAGAATTTCTTACCAGCGAGTAGAAAACATGGGCAAAGAGAACCACCAAAACAAACTGAATAGTTGCATACATCCATGCATATCTTCTCCTTACTGAGCGCACAAGGATCAAGGCAGATATATTAGTAAATCAACTACTTGAAACTGCAAGCGAAAAGACAACATTTCATTACAGGCTTGTACCCATTGTAGTAGATGTCATGGATGCAAGAAGACCCAATATGCAGGAAAAGGGTAGAGATATGGCAATGGCACCAGATCCCATTTTTATTACCTGTACACCAAATCATACCATTAGAACAATTGATTCATTCCAAAGCAAGCAATACAAAGTGGCATGAATTACCAAAAGTTGCTCAAGAAAACAAAAGTAAGCAAGCATGCTGACGATCACAAGAACCGGAACATCCTGCCATACCCTGCAGACGATTACACCATCGTCATCAAGTAGTTAGAAATTTTAAGATTTTAACTTTCTTAAACAACTTCATACACTTCACTATCAACAGTTGATCACAAAATTGAACAATCAGGAATGAGTCTAAATCTCCAGATTTCAAACTTTAATAACACTATAACTTAAAAACAAAAACATTTAGAGACAGACAGACACAGACACAAAGATCCATGAGCACGCAAACACAGCATCTTCATATAGACACTCTGTCAGTTATAAACATATAGACACAGAAAGATTCAGAAAGCAAACATTTCTGACTTGCCTGTATCGAGGAACTTCAATAGACCTAACTGCTGCACTTCCTCGGGGCTGACCCTCTTGAATTCGTAAGAGTGTTACAGGTAAGTTCTGAACCTCTTGCTTGCAGACATCACAGGTTTTGTTACCTTTTATGCTAAACCATTTCACAGCACAATCTTGGTGGGCCAGGGCAAGTTCACCCTTACAGTTGCATTCCATCTTAAGGGTTTCTGAACTCTCCCCTAGTTCAACCAGACAGATTCTGCAAACTGCTTCTTCTTGAGGGATATCTTCACCATTATTATCACTTCCATCTGAACCAAAAAACTAAAATAAGGTGGAGCTTCGTTATCACAAGTCAGAAAAAAGGGGATTATAGATGCAGTAGATTTGCAAACTTGGTCAACATACAGCATCCTTCCTTTTAAAAGGTAGAACAAAAATCCCCAAAACCAGATGTCGAAGGTTCAAATCCTACATAGTATGATACAAAAAGGGCCCCTTTATCAATTTTATCAATTATTTGATAATTCTTCGTACCAGAGAACTGTCCCAAGTCCAATTTTGCTTGAGCATGTATTTTACCATAAAGAACTCATGGAAATCATCTTAAATTCCTTTTAGTATTCTTGAACAACTTTATCTGTGCGAGTTCCAGAAATGCAGTAACATTTTCAAGCTCTGATTTGGTTCTTCCCATAGATAGAATGATTAACAGATAGATCTGAATGCAATTTTTTTCATATCTCAAGGTATTGTGTTTACTGGAGATCAGAATCTAAAGGTTGAGTTGCTGCTTTGGAATTAGGTGCCACTACTCTCCTTCTTGGAGTCAGCCAGATCAACAATAAGAAACTTTTAAAACTTATCAAAGAGTAAGAACCTAGACCTATGTAATATTGAAGATAATAACAATAATAATAATTAATAAAATACTTAGCTGCATCACATAAAATAAGCATGATTAGTAAATTGACACACCTATATCAACTTTCACAGTTGCGTCCAGTGTTGGTACATTGTGTTCTGTAACCCGTGGAGTAGCAGGGATGACACGAATTACACCACCCAAGTTATCAATCTGCCTTACACTTCCATCTTTGTTTAACACCGGGACTGAGCGTGAGCGGTGGATGGGATAAAATGTCCCACCTTTCTGTAACGGAACTGATTTGGTAAGAGACTAGCTAGAGATAAAGTATCTCCAAGTTACTTGGCAAAAAGCGAATTAGCACCAAAGAAGAGCATACTAATAATTGTATACATGAGCTTCAACTTTGTAAGTAATGCAAATTCTTGAGGAACTTGGAAAATGCACCAGGAGCAAACTCAAGTCTTGTTCCAAGCTTCTATGCAGCAAAATTGTGAAAATGAAAAGAATAGAACAGAACTTAAAGATGATCAAAATAAAATTATGAACACAGAATGGTGATCCTACCATCATATTTTTCTTAACTGAAAGAACCATCAATTACCCATATTATTTAGTAGCAATTAAAAAGTTAACCAAAGCAACTGCATAAAATAGAATAAAAGCTAATATGAAGCAACTATCACTCACAACTGAATTTCCATTCCCTCCATGTGTTGACTCTGGATTTGAATGAGCAATTGGAGTTACTGGTAAAGATGATGTTCTCCTCATCCTTGGTGTGAATAGCTTTGTAAGAGAAAATGTCCTTGTAATTGACCTCTTCTCCTGTGGTCCGAGTGGAGAACCTAGAGCTAGCATGGCTGCCTTTTCGATCTCTGAATCTGTATTCCGAAACTTAAAGCTCAGTTTAGGCAGGAGGCTCTTCATTGATGCTTTACCCTTGTTTGATGAGGAGGGAAGCGGGGATCCATTAAACCTGATATGACCGGGACTCGGTAATGGTGAAAAGTTCACTTTTTTAGGAGTTGGTGACGGAGGCACGTTTATCCTCACAAAATCGTCTATGGAGCCATCAGCTGTTGTTTTGGGTATATCCACAGTTACAATTTCATTCCTTTGGTGCTGACTACTTGTTGATTCCTCAACTATTTCACTTGATTCTCTAACCTGCCAAAATAATTTAAAAAAAAACACTGATCAGAAGGGGAAACTTCAAAGTGCAAAATTGAAACTTTCTAGTGGGACGATTGAAATGAAGAAGTCAAGGCAGACATAGCTACAGCGCGCAGACATTATGCCCAAGAATTGCACCATAAAGGAAAAAGTTCATTTCTCGGAACATTCAAACATCATAGTATGGATTATCGCCAAAGTCCTAGCTAAATTATAGTAAAAGGGGAGAAAAAAAAAAAAGGGGCAATGAAAATTCTAATTGGAGATCAGTTAATAAGGCAAAGGGAGAATATGGAAGTGAAATTCTGACAGGGCAGGGAGGATTTCTCATTAAAGAAAACAGAGTTCAGTCACAAGAAAGTCGAGAGATATGCTGACTTAGTTAAGTGTAGCATGTAAATGCGTGGATTAATTTAGAAAAAGAAAAAGGAGGCCAGAGGACAAGTAGTACCTTTTGGATACCAGCAGCAGGCGGTGGATGAATTGCGGTTGAGGCGGCGGGGAAGGAGGGTGGTAAGGAGGCCACCAGCCCCTGAACGTCGTCATGGTGTTTAGTCAAACAATTCTCTTGAGAATTTTCCATAAATGCACGTAAAACGGTAAAAGGGAGGAGGAGAGAATCTGCAACTAGTAATTAGTCAAGGAGTCAAAAGGGAATCAACTGGAAATTCAGAACAAGCTTGTAAGAATCAAAAAATCCATAATCAGAAGAAACCTCAGAAAGTCCCAATCACAATACAGTACTAGGCTGCTGGTGAAGTTTTCACAGACAACTCCTTAACACTGACAGAGTTTCGTCTCTCAGAGAGAGAGAGAGAGAGAGCAAAGGGAGGATTTCAATTTGGCAATCGATACTGATATTGATACTGATGTGGGCTCTGTCTACATTTTTGTGGCGCAACATAATAATAAGAGAGTAAAGGTACAACTGCACGCTCTGGCTAGTACAGCCGTACACCCTCCACTTTTACAAACTTCGAAAGCTCCCAAGAAACAGAACCACCAATCACTTGCTCCTATGTTTTATTTGTTTTCTTATACGGCTTCCCGCCGGTTACCTCTTGCCAGTATAATTCTTCCCATTGTTTCCCTTTTCCCCCCATGATAGTTGCATCACATATTGGCAACCAGTCCAGGGAACAATTCGGGATATGGATTTGGCACATATCATACCTTTTTTTTTGTTCTTATTTCTTATTAATAAAAAAAAAGAGTTACAAATAATGCAAGAATTAAGAGTGTGTTTGGATAGTGAGTTATTTTCTCAAATATATTTGCTTACATCACCATTATAATTTTTAATACAATTTTTTATCTTCCCAATTACTTTTTTATCTCACATATATCACATCACAAAAAGTGCTGCAGTAAAAATATCTCAAATAACCCACCATCCAAACACACTTATGGCTTTTACAAAAAAATGTTACCAAGTATTATACAAAAAAAAAAAAAAAAATTGACCATATGGCTTTTAGAAGGGTAATGCCTTATAAATCATTCAAGATTTACAAGGGGAAGTAGCGCAACATGAAGAGAGGAAAGTTGGGAGGAGGATTCATGGCCAACTTAATACTAGCCAGATAGTTTGGGGAATAATCATATGTTTTACCTAAACTAACCCCTTCTGAAAAATGCATGCATACATACATACATATATATATATATATACACATATATATATATACATATAGATTGACCTTTATTAGTTCAGAAAGGTCTGGTGACGTTTTGATGATGAGTTGTCCAATGAGAAAACCTCATCATTTATGATCGAAGCATAGTTATTAAATCCGGCCCGGTCCGGCGGTCGAACCGGTCAAACCGGTGAACCGGACATTGGACCGGGCTGGGTTTTGAGTTAGATCGTTTAAGCAATAAACCCGTTGACTAGTCAACGGACCGGCGGTTCGACCGGATTAAACCGAAAACCCGGCCGATTTTGTCTACAAACCGGGTTCCTGAGAAAAAATTTATGCCTTTGATGGGACTCGAACATTGGACGTATGAACATTACAACAACGCAGACACCCCCAAGCTACTTCACAATATGGTGCTAAGGTTTCTTACTTATAATATATAAACCTTTTTCAATTTTATCTTTTTTTTTATTTCTCTAAAACAAATTTATTTGGAATCTTTTAATAAAAATTTATGACCCCCAAACTCTATAAGTTATAAAATAGACTTCAAAAATAACATATTACATAATTCATTTTAAAGATAAATATTATTTTTAATATTTTTTTGCACTTAAAACTTATAAATAAGTTAGATAATTACACTGAAAATAGATAAAATTTTATACTTAAAATTTGGTGTATTACTAAATAATTTTATATTTTATTGATTCTTATATGAATTAATTATTTTATAGCAAATTAAATTATATGAGTATTTGCTATGACATTATTTATTACAATTTATATCTTATATCTTATATTTAAAATTATGAAATATAATATTTAAATATATTTAGTGACCCACCGGTTCAACCACTCACCCACTGGTTGAACCAGTAACCCGTTGACCCACCTCGTTCGCCGGGTTCCCTCCCGGGTTGGGTTTAATAACTATGGATCGAAGTGATATCAAAACCCCGAAATGGGTCCTCCCTGATTTATAATTTGTTTTGGGGCTTGGCCCGTCTGGTGTTAAAATTTCCTAACAGTTGCAAGACCGGTTTGTTTGGATGGTAAGTTATTTGAGATATTTTTACTGTAGTACTTTTTATGATGTGATATATCTAAGATAAAAAGGTAATTGAAAAAATTGAAAAATGTATTAAAAATTGTAATAATAATATAAGCAAATATATTTGAAAAAATAATCAGCTGTCCAAACAAACCAAAATACGATGACTCAATACAATACTGTACGATGACTCAATTTAATTGTATTGCTTAAATTTAATATATATTAGTCGCCTTTCCCCAACCCCAGAGCAAGAGGGAAGACGAACGAACAAGGCAAAGAATATTTTGATTAAAAAGTAAAGAGTTACATAGATATCCTTTTGTTTTAAATTGAAGAGTTACATAATTGTGTTTGAATTGCATTTTTCATAATTTTTTATGAAAAAATTACTGTAGTGATTTGATGTATACGAGAAAAAAAAGGTAATAGGAAAATGTGATCACGAAAAACGACGTAATTTTTTGACGAAAACAACAATCCAAACAAGGATTTTCATGGATTGACTCCTATGTTCTATCACGTACGCTACAGTATGCTTCCGGCGAAGAACGGGTTTTGACATAGAGAATATATATTTTTTTTAGGAGGTGGTGGAGGTGTTGTTGTGGTTTGGGGGGGGGTGGGTGTAAAGAAGGGCCTTTTTTTTGTCTGAAACAGATTGGTGGTAGACTAATACTCAAGCCATAACAAAGTCAAGAGATGTGCTTGTAGTTATTATTTAACCCTCGAAGGAGGTTGACAAACTAAGCAGTAGCAGGAGGATTACTTAAAAAAAAAAATCGTAATAGAAGAAGAATGAGATTTTAAAAGTGAGGAGGAAGTAGAGAGATTTGAAGGGTCGTAAAACCTTAACCTTAATCACTAAACTAAAGCCTCTTCAACCTTTTGGAAGGAAAGTTAACCATCTACGAATTTTAATTTCAGAAAGTTAATAGAATAGAATATTTTGAAAGTATGACTAAGGAAGTAAGGGATGAGGTGCAGTACTATATAAAATGGAATAATTATCATAGTATCTTTTAGTGTGATATGATATATATGAAATAAACGACACTTGATAAAATATAAGAGATGGATTAGAAAACATAATGGAATGTCCAACAATTCCCGGACAAGAGGTCTCACTCCTGCAAGTCAAAACAGCTGCAATAGAGGGCAAGTGGGCAATGGATCAAAAGGATTACTTTTTTTTTTTTATCTCAAGAAATAAAGAACACACACGCACACAATTAGATTAACACTACTCAGGAAGTCACCAAAGGACAATTTAAGGTGGACCCACAAAGTAACCCGATTCAACCAATTGGAATCAAAAGGATTACTTGATGTTAAGTTCTTTTACTTATTGTGACTCAGAACCCAAGTTATCACTTCAGCTGTTGATTCAATATTGCGGCGAAACAGCTTCAATTTTGTGTCATATATTATTGTTGGTGCATTCTCCGCTGCCGACCCATAAATTTAAGGGTAAAATACAAGGAACCTCCTTGTGGTTTCGCGAAAAGACACCTCACCCCCTTATCGTTTAGAAACCTACACATAAACACCATAAACTTCATAACTAAAATGGAAATTACCTTTTGAACCGGTTTAGTTACCGGCAGAAGGTCAAATACCTTGGCAGGCTGTCCAATTCCTTCACAAAAAAGAAAAAAGCTACTGTCCAGGGAAACTAATTTGTACAACGTCGATCAAAGAGATATCTGCGATTCGACTTCACTCTCCCACCCGATATAAGCATACAGAAGAGAGAGAAGGCAGAAGCGAAGAGATCCGCAACACTCCTCCTTTCTCCAGTCTTGCAATGGTATCAGCAGCATGCGACACCACCAAAGCAAATTTGCTATGAATCAGATCTGCCATACAGATTGACAAGAAACGAGCTTTGTCAGGAAAATTGGTGCTGATAATCACGTGAATGCAGATGTCGAAAAGAAATGTTTGCCAAGCTTGAGAAGATTGAAAATAAGAGATTGCAGCTGTTACGGACTTCGAATCTGAGGAGAAGAAAGTGCAGTGAGGCTTGTTAAAACAGAGACCCAATGCTTCAGGTCTGTAGGAACAACATTGATGAAAGAGGGAATATGGTATCGCAAGATTTTCCATCCAAATTTTTTATTCTGAGTTTGAATATCCTTCAGAACACTCTGCAACATGAGACGACCTTTAGTAGTGAAGACATACCTTTCATTGTTCAGAAACGGGAGAGTTGAGTTCTAGCTTTACCATGTCTGTCATTGAATGGATCCTCTGGTGAAAAATTGCTAAAATACATAACCAGTTCAATTTCCATATATGGCAAGCAAATTTAGTCAATGAAATTCCATCTGGAAGTGGTAAATTTTTAAAAACCAGAAGACACACGGATCAAACACTTTATCCAAAACCTGTGCCCACTTAAAAAGCAAAAAGACAAAAAAAAAAAAAAGGAATTAGCAGAAGTTGAAATACTGGTCCTGTGGATTTATTAACTATTTGTATTTGTAGCCCTGGGTTAGTTCTTCACTACATTAATTTCGAAGAGATCGGTTAACTTTGGCTCAGATCTGCTTTAGCCTTTGGAATTTGTTTGAACCTTGCCTGAGTGTAGCAGTCAATGAAATCCGATGTTGTAATTTCGATTCTTTAATCTGTAGTGGATTACTCTCCATTCATGGGGATCGAGAAGGGTGCTGTTCTGCAGGAAGCGAGGGTCTTTAATGATCCTCAATTGGATCCTAGGAGATGTTCACAGGTCCAGTTTTCAGCCTGCCTTGTTACCTGATATTCGACCAGCACATCCGGTTAAAGGTCAATTTCCACTTTAGTAATGAAGTTTAAGGTGTTTATGTGTATGTTTCTAAACGATAGGGGAGTAAGGTGTCTTTTCGTGAAACCACAAGGGAGTTTTTTGTATTTTACCCTAAATTTAATTTGATACCACACTACTACTAAAGTAACGACAGCATAAAGTAATGCGACCAATCAGGCGGCTTGAATATTGTCGTCATTCGTCTCCATGATAATGATCCTGTTACAGTACAGTACAAGTACAGTTGACATTCACGGAAAAACAAATCTTCTCAGACCATCGATTGATTTAGACGGACATGTTAGGGTAATGCTTTTTCATTCTCTTTTTTTAAAAAAAAAAAAAAATTGATTAGATAAAATTTTTTAAAAAAAAAAAAAAAAACTCACGGA